ATCAAATAGCATAGAAAAATAGAACATTCTTTTCTCTATCAGACTATATAAAAAGAAAGTTTCTTTAACCTTTCTATAAGGGATAAAAATACCACTGCCACTACTTTTGGTATGCCCTAAGTATATACAATATTTGTATTACTGGTAACAGTAATGTGCCACCCCTAATTCGAACACTTTTGGATAAGCCGTGTAGTTATTTTTGAAAATGATAAAAGAGAAAATTCTTATGGTTGTCTACATAAAGAGTTTCATAGGCCTATGACGCATATTTTGTACAGCATTACTTCTAAAAAGGAGACATTCTGATCTTTCTACTACTTACGAGGGAACCTCTCGAGGTGATAAAACGCTTTTTGATCAAAATCTAGTGGGTTATAGGTTATCGACCATGCTCATTCCGAATATGATTATGGGAGCTGCCCTTAACCGTACGATCCTATTTTCTGGAAAACCAGATTTTCAAAAACATTCTGATTTTTCTACTACTTAGCAATCAGAAGTTATAACCTATATCATGTACGTTTACTTTAAAAATATATTTTGTCTCGTCATCTATTAATGCAACAGTTTGATTCAATCCGGATTTTGTTTTGAATAAGGTCAACTCCTTCTCTATTTTCACACTTTTATAGTCGAAAATCAGCATGGATGTCGAAGATCATATGAATCTCAGTTTCTAATTTTTATTTACTGTATCTGTATTTATGAAGTATGTTTAAATCAATATGGATAGATACGATAGCGATAAGTAGTAGTAACAATCAATCAAAAACATGCAGAAATATCCTCCTAAATCTTCTAAAATTAACAATTAAAAAGCCAGTGCTAAAAACCTTGTATAACTAAGTGGTTGTTAATTAATAAATGTAATAGCTACATGAATAAGCGACAATATAATAAAGTTTTTCGTATATTTTCTAATATGCTTACTATCACCTGTTATCAATACATATAGGTGACAGTCAGTTCAATATTTTGTTGAAATTTTACCGGCCCTGCTTTTTCCCAATACATTTGCATTTCTCGGCTTTCGGAATCGATTTCAGCACCGACCACGATTTTTCCATCGACACATAACTGATCAAAATTTTGAGGCTTCGTAAAATCGCAGGTAAATTCAATAGGAAATTGTTGATCGTGCTTTAATTGAATTTTTGTCTCACCTAGAAGAATGCCACCATTTTTCTTCGTGTGCTGTAGCTGTACATCTCTTAGTTTTGAAATGTCTTCAATATAAATAATCAACACTTCGTCACCTTGTAGTTGTTTATGAGGCTCTATTTTAGTATCCGTCGAATCTAATAAAACTTTACCTTTTAACACACTATTCATGATTCAATTGTACAGGCAAAAAAATACAAAACGAATGTGTAAAAGGAAAAAGTAAGCATGTTAACCAAAGCGTGATGGAGTATTCCTATTTGTTTAGAATGCATGTATCACAAAAATTTGTATAAATTTTCACAAGGTTAGGGCACGAATCAACTATTTTTTACCGAATTCATCAATAAGATATATAAACGATTATTACTCCTTATACATGTTGATATTGCATATAGTAAAACACTAACATTAAAAAGTATATTTTTACCATTTAGAAAAAGGTAACGGTGATAATAAATAAAGACGATTCATCCAATGCCATGAGGGTACTTTCGCAGAGGTCCGGCCAGTATTACATGAGCTAAACACCGGGAATGTTTTACCATCATCACTTATGATCTTCAAAAATATTTCACAAAGTTTTATATAACCATATTTACATACTATATGTAACCGTGAATTATTATCATCGCATCACCATCAGAAAGATTTACGAACGCTGATCAAACAATGTTGTTTATTTGAAGCTACTCTGATAAACGTACACTGATTTTCATTTAGTAAATTAATCTCGACTTTCTTGCCCACAAGATTTTTCAATGATATTTTCTGTCTTATTCATCTTAGTTATTCTATCCAAATAAAAATGCGCAGTTGGATCTTCATCAGCAGTCTTAGCTTTGGCAACGTCTTCTTGTTACATAGAGAAAATATTTAACAAATGCTTTAATAAAAACGATAAAATATTGCATTCTTATCTGTTATACGTCAAGTGCGTAGAACCACGGCGTGATAAAAACAGGAACGTCAGGGCAGCGCCTATCGGGGCTACAAATGTGTAACTCCTATACCTTCATTTAATAGATTAACTAAGCACCGAAAACTATGGGATTTCGAGTATATAACCTCAACTCCTCGCTACTATGAAGTTAGGGAAAGAAGTTTCACAAAATTGAGGTTTACTTTTCTGTCACTCTATTATCCGGTTCAAAATATAATGTCCGTAGTTGTTTCTTGAATATCTCATGGACGAAAAGAACTGAGACTCGTGATTTTCACCAATCGATAGACGAGACTGGGAGACTTCTTTAGTTAAAATAAATGTGCTTCAAAAAATACAAAAGTTCTTTGAAGAAAGCAAAACAGTAGATCTAGTTTTTAATCTCTCGCAAATCCATTATCAAATGAACTTAAAGCAATACCGAACGCTCGTACGGCACATAAGAGATGTTTATAATCACATGTAAAAACATCATCTAAACACGACCAAATTGCATGATAACATCTTCTAAAACATAGATTGGCTTCGTCATACGTTGATGTACAGAATTTTAAACTTACGATCATTAACAATTTGAAAATTTTTCACAGATGCTTCAGTGACACGACCATCATAGAATCTGAGTGAGGAGGATTTCGTTTCTTAACAGAACATTAAGTATACAACATTTAAAGAAATCAGTATTGCGAAGGAGTTCGTAATAAGAAATTCATCTTTTTAACGGATAAAACTAGAAAAATCGTTTTACATCATATGAAATAAGGATTACGACACATTTTGTAAAAACTCACTTCATCATCGTATTTAAAATGGAATTGCAAACCAATAGTAGTTCCCAAGCACGAAAAACGATCATGAAGCGGGTGCTGCATCTAGATTAAAAGGTACATTTATCTAGCTTCAGCTGGATGCACTGAAACACATGAACATTTGTTGATGTAGGTTTGATTGATGTATAAAGTGAAGCCAGTTCATGTTGATTTTCTTCTACTTTTAAAAGCAGGAGACGCATTCTTCGTTTAAAAGGATTACGTAAAATGACGATTCTTTTACCTGACATAAAAGATCAAAATCATGAACAACTGCAAACCGTATGTATTACATCTATATTTGTAGAAAACTACAAGCCTCTTCTTTATAAGGAACAAGAAAGTTTAATTGAAAAATGGAAGCATAAAAAAACAGACGATGTGTTAGAATTACATAATAAAGTACCAGTCTGGAAAAAAGGTGAGCCATTTCTAGGAACATCAACTTTTTAACTATGTTTATCAAGTTTACAAAACGAAGTCTTACCTGTCCGTAGATCTGTTTTCTCCAGAAGAAGTTTCCTCTTAAATCTAAAAATTAAAAATATAATAGGCCTTTAACTCTTTGTATACTGACTTTTTTTTACTGAAACAAAATGAAATTCGACATCATCATGTTGATGCTCATAGTGAGAGATGCCTATGATGAGTTTTTGAAAATTTTGGAAAAATCACTTCTCGAGGTTTTATGTACCCAAATATGACCGGTATTACACCCTATTTCTTGTTGAGAAAATCAAGAAAAACGCTTATAAATACTATCGATCCAAAAAAACAGTGCCATCCGTTGCTTTTTGAATAACCTATGACATGAAAGAGCTAGAGAGCTCCGGTTTTCGCCATTCGGAAAATCCGATACAACGCCCGAACCGCGGAAAACCAAGGTCTCACTTGACTACCATTTTGAACAGGACATTCCGGGCCATCAGTCCATGAAAAAAAATCAATACAATCCTATTGGGAAATTTTTACAGACAGCCTAGTTTTGCAAACATCTCCTAGAAAACCTGTTTCAGAAAACTCTATATATAAAAACATTAGGTTATATATTGTATATTATAGGTTATAAAAACATGGCTCCAAGTCTTCTCTTTAGAATGGCGCAAACCGGATCTTTCTATCAAAAGTTATTCAAAAAATATCCGAGTGCACTGTTTTTTTCGGTCGATAATAGCCTCATAGGTTTCTGTTCATATTTGTTAATTTTCGCTGAAAAGTGGTATTAATATATGCAATTTCATTTAAAAATACAGTGTCTGGTCTATTAATAAATTTAGTGAATAATATTCATTCATTTTTAAATAATCCCATGTGGTTCTTCACATAATCGTCAATACGCTAATTAGCGTGTCTCTATACAAAGAGTTAAAGTAAAAAATGTTACCTAGTTTTCTTGGTATAATTCATACTGTAACACCATTCTGTGAGTTTGAAAAAGTAAAAAGTTTGAAATAGTAAAAAAATTTTGAGAAAATTCATACGTTGAAATTTACAAAGAAATTTCATTGATTTATCTGTTATCTTGTTTTCCAGATAACTCTGTTTTTCCTGCAACCGTTAGTGCTATAAACTTATGAGAATGAATCAAAAATAAGAGAAAGATAGCACACTATAAAAGGGAACAATTTGGCTTGATTATTATATTCTACGTCACGTACTTCAGAGGTACTTTTTGATAACTAGTAAAGGGATGAGTGACATTCGAAGATTATCGACTGTAGGATGACGTCGGGCTACTCGAAACTGACAACTGTGACTTGGCAGCGCTCTAAACAGGTAACGGTAGCCGTCAGGTAGAGTATTCTTCGTCCTGTTCTCTGTAAAATATGATTTTTTAGCCATTTCCACAATGGAAATTTCTGAAACTAAACCTTCTAATGTGAAAACATTTCACATTTTTTATGTTTGAAAATTTTCCACGTAGCCCTGTAAACGCGCACGAGTTTTCCCCTCTGTCTGGATTACTTTTATACTGCCCATTATTTGTTATTCTCGCTTTCCTCAGCGCACGCACATTCATTTTGTTTGTATGACTTCTTTCAAGAGAATAGTCTTTCATTTGACGCACGCACATTCGTTTTCTCTCAAGAGAATAGTCTTTCATTTGAAGAAGAGATGGAGAGATTTTCAAACAGCAACAACCCAAGCAAAACTAAGTAAGCGAGAAAATCTAGCTGCGAAAATAGCTGCAGCGCCCACTTACACGTAGATTAACTAGATTACAAGGTACATTTACCTAGCTGCATGTTAATTGAAATCGTGTACTAGTTGAAACGGCAGCTGCACTGGCCAATTAATGGCGAAATGAATTGCCCGATTAATCAATAGCAACTAGTTGTTATTGATTGTACCCAACCAGTATAGATCAGAAATGCTATGAACTTTTCAGATTCCACCGGAAAACCATCTAATGTAATATAAAGCTAAAAGGTTTTCTGCACACCCCAGCAGATCCAAAAGAAGTTGGAAGTATTTCTAATCGATTTGTTATAATAGATTATCTATACACTGTCAATTTCATTACCCATCTTCCACTTTTTTTGTATGGTCACAGTTAACTGCAATATGGCGACATCTACCACGGTCTACAGAAAACTTTTGCTTAGCTGTTTACCTCTCTGCATCAATAGACATTTCAGATGATCTCTTTGAATATTTTCTCTCTTATCAAAAAATTGTTTTTTACTTTTGTCTCCTGTGATTCGCTTATCCATCGAATATCTGACAGCCATTTTTCCGTATTTTGCCCACAGACAGATGGTGACTACACTGTAAATTCGGTGAGCCAGTGGAAGAGCTTATGCTCAGCCACTATTCCGACTGAGCCAGCCATTACAGTGGCTGATTTTTCTGTGTAAGTCAGTAAGGTGGCTTTGATGTCAGACTGATGGAT